TACATCAGGCAAATGGTCCTTTAAGAAAGAAGACAAATTAAGACATTCCCTTTTAATTTGAGGAACTTTGTGATAACTATATTTGTTTTACAACAAATGTTAAAAGGAGTCCCTCAGAATGAAATGAAAGGACAGTAAACAATAACTGGAAGCTGTACATAAAATAAAATAAAATACCAGTCTAATAATATGTTTGGCTGGTGTCTAGATATTATGTTCTATAGGGAGAAAGATGGGGCTTTTTTTACTTCTGTGAAGTGTTACAGTCTCAGAAACTCAAAGGGGCAGTTCTACCCTGTCCTACAGGGTCACTGAGTTGGCATCTGCATGATTTTAAGTAACAAAAATAAGTATGGATTTATGTTATTTGACACATGATACAATAGATTTAATTTGCAATAACAACTTGATGAACTAGAAAAAGAAGAGCAAGTCCAAAGTAAACAGAATGCAGGAAAAAATAAAGTTAAATATTCCAAAAACTACTTAGCCTACACTTGTTCAATCTCCCTTTCTCAATAGTGTTTTGAAAATTAGTATCTAATTTTACGTGGGCTAATCAATGACACTATAACAGAAGGTCCTTATGCTCCAGGGAAATGATAGATAAGATTCTCTATCACACATTAACAAGGATGTCTCTAAGATGAACCAGAGGCAGATAAAAAACAAATTCAGGAATGGATTTTAGACACACACTTATTCCTATCTCCAATCCAAGAGCAATTAGTTCTTATGTCATGGCTCTGCTTGACAACTGCCCTTATGAAGGAAACACAGATGATATGGGTGCTATCTTAAAGTGTGGTGAAGAAATTAGATGATGCCTGACTATCAGATCAAATATTGTCTGAGGTCTTAAAGGCTTGTTTCCAAACAAGTAACCATCTAAGTGAGACATCAACTAAGCCTGTGGAAGAACACCAACATCTGTGGTCCAATGATTGTAATTATATAATCCAAATCTGAAAGACAGCATAGTATCAGAGTTTAAATTGTGCAATTCTGCAGCGCAGAAGGCTACGGATGACAGTGGAAGCCCAAAATACATTTGCAGGGTCTACACAAGGAATAAGCCCCTGGTGATTTCCCCCTAGCTATTATTGAGGGATGGGAATAAACTGGCTATCAGGCAGAGTTTTGGAGAGATGACTACAGTAGATTAAAGCAATAAATCTGATTTGGTCTCCCTTCTGATCCTCTTTGTGGCTTTTAATATTTTCTTTGCGTTTTTTTCTCATATTGGGGTTTATCTCTGTTGTATTTTGTTATTGTTGGTAGCCTTTTGACACTTTGTTATGTGTTTTTCTGTTTTCAGTCTATGAAACCTAGGATATGTGAATATATAGCGACAACAACTAGAATAAGCGTTCTTGGCGGGTGTGGTGGGGGTGTGGGGGACAGGTAAAGGGAACTGCTATTAAGGAGTTTAGGAAGGAAGAAAATGTTTTGAAACTGCTTTGGGGAGCAATTATGCAACACTGCTTGATACGATTGAACTATGGAATGGTATGCTGTCTGGATTAGCTCTTACTGAAATGATTTGGGAAAGAAAGAAAGAAAGATGAAAAAAATTTCAATTTCCCCCCACACAAACAACCAAACCAGAACAAACCCCAAACCTACAAAAACCAAACTCACTTCCATTGAGTTGATTCCAACTAATAGCGACCCTATAGGACAGGATAGAACTGCTGCTGTGGGTTTCCAAGACTGTTATTCTTTACAAGGGTAGAAAGATTCATCATCTTTCCTGTGGGGCAGCTGGTGATTTTGAACAACTAACCTTGAGGTTACCAGCCCAATGAGTAAATCACTATGCCAACAAAATTCAGAGTGGAAATAAAAGAAATAGAGAACTGAAAAACAATAGAGAGTTGTTGAGTTTTTGGAAAGATTAATAAAATTCACAAATTTCTGGCTAGATTGGCAAAAAAAGGGAAGACTTACACTCTAGATCTAAAAATGTATTATATTGTTACAGTATTTTAGATATGGTGTAAGAACAGACAAACAAGTCAACCAGAAAAATTAGAAAGGGTGGAAATTATTGCTAATCCTACAGGGGGAAAAATGCATTATAAGAAGATACTATAAAAAAATTTTCACTTACAAGTCAAATAAAATAGATGAAATAATCAAATACCTAGACACATAAGCTACCTGAATTGACTAAAGGAGAAATAGGAAATCCCAACAGACTCATACTACGTAAAGAGCTGAGCCAGTAATTTAAAAAATCCTAACCAAGAGAAGTCTTGGATCAGATAGCTTTGCTGTGGGATCTACCGAACATTTAAATAAAATTTTACTCAATACTTCTTTTTTTTTTTAAACATTTTATTAGGGGCTCATACAACTGTTGTCGCAATCCATACACACATCAATTGTGTAAAGCGCATTTGTACATCATTCTCAAAACATTTTCTCTCCACTTAAACCCCTGACATTAGGTCCTCATTTTTCCCCTCCCTCCCTGTTCCCCCCTCCCTCATGTGCCCTTGATAGTTTATAAATTGGTATTTTGTCATATCTTGCCATGTCCGACGTCTCCCTTCACCTACTTTTCGGTTGTCTGTCCAATACTTCTTAAATTCTTCAGACAACAACAAAAACACATAAAAGTAAGAACTACTATTGACTCATTCTATGAGGTTCTGATACCAAAGCCTGATAAAGACTGCATGGAAAAATAAAACTACAGACCAATATGAATATAGATGCAAAAATCTTCAATAAAATATTAGTAAACTAAGTCTAACAGTTTATTAAAAAGATTACACATCATGACCAAATTTGATTTATTTAAAAAATGTAAAGGTGGTTCAACATAAGAAAATCAATTAGTGCAATATGCCACATTAATAAAATTAGTATAATCATCTCAATTGATGCAGAAAATGCATTCGGTAAAATCCAATAACCTTTATGATAACAGCACTGAATAAAGTAGGAGCATAAGGGAAATTTCTCAACATGAGAAAGGGCATTTGTGAAAAGCCAACAAGGAAAGAAAGAAAAACCAACAGCTAACATCATACTTAATCGTTAAAGATTGAAAACTTTCCTCTTAGATCAGGAATAGAAAAAGGGAGCCCATTTTAAGGACTACTATTCAACCTTGTACGTATAATTCTAGCCAGAAAAACTAGTTAAGAATGAGTAAGTATCCTAATTGGAAGGGAAGATGTATAATTATTTGTAAAACTACTAGAACTATTAAATAATTTGAACAAACTCACATGGTATAAGATTAACACACAAAAATCAGGTGCATTTCTCTAAAGCAGCAATAAACAATCTGAAAAAAGAAATTAAGAAAAGAATCCTCCTTACAATAGTATCTAAAAGAAGAAATAATACACATAAGAAGAAATTTAGCCAAGGGTGTGAAACACACATTGACTGAAAACTATAAAACATTGCTGGAAAAAGACCTAACTAAAGGGAAAGGCATCCCATGTTCATTGTTTAGAAGACTTAATGCCTTCAAAAAGTTAATGGGAATGTGGAACTCAAAGATAGTGGAATTTCCTCAAACCCTTGAAGCCTTTTAGTGTTGTTAGGATGTTGATACTACTCAAGAGATTTGTGGATTCAATGCAGTCTTTCAGAATTGCATTAGCCTTTTTCAAATGGAAAAGCTGTTCTCACATTCACATAGAATTGCAGGGAATCCAGGACAGATAACCCCCTCAGGACCAGGAAGGAGCGTAGCCATACCAGGAGCGGAAGGGGAATGTGGAGGGAGAAAGGGGGAATGGATCACAATGATGTACATATAACCCCCTCCTGGGGGGGATGGACAGTGGAAAAGTGGGTGAAGGGAGACATTGGTCAGTGTAAGACATGAAGAAATAATAAATATTTATAAATTATCAAGGGTTCATGAGAGAGGGAGGGTGGGGGAGGGACCAGGAAAATGAGAGGCTAATACCAAGGGCTCAAGTAGAAAGAAAATGTTTTGAGAATGACGATGGCAACAAATGTACAAATGTGCTTGACACAATGGATGGATGGATGGATTGTGATAAGAGTTGTACGAGCCCCCAATAAAATGATTAAAAGAAGAAGAAAAGAATTGCAAGGGACCTTAAAGAGGCAAACTATTTTGAAAAGAACAAAGTAGGAGAGCTTACACTTCCATAACTGAAAATGTGTCATAAATCTACAGTAACTAAAGATAAGGTATCAGGATGTATTTAGACACCAGTGGAACAGAATTGAGAGTCCATGAATAAAAAGGGTAGTTTTACTTTGTCCTATAGGGTCCTTAGCTTTGAGGTGAGGTGAGTTTTGAGTTGACCTGCTAACCCAGTGAACAGCAGTTCTAAACTACCAGCTGCTCTGAGGGAGAAAGAGGTGACTTTCTCCTCCCCCAATGGTTACAGCCTCAGAAACCCACAGGGGCAGTTGTACTGTGTCCTGAAGGGTCGCTAGGAGTCAGAGTCGATGCTTTGGCAGTGAGATCAGTTGGTGGTTTTATAGGATTGCTATGAGTTGGCATTGACTCCAGGCCAATGGTTTTGTGGTCAGTTGATTTGGGGTAAGGGTCCATTCAGTGGGATGAAGAATTAAACTCTTCAACACAGGTGCTGAGAAAACCTTAAAAAAAAGCATGAAGTTGGATCTTTATCTCATACCATATGTGAAAATGAATTCAAAATGAATCAACTACCCAAATACAAAAACGAAGCATAAAACCATCCAAAGAAAACATTTAAAGATACGGTTTTTGGCCACATAAAAAACATGAGCAATGAAATAAATGATTGATAAATTGGGTTTCATCAAAATTAAGAACTTTTGGGCATCAAAAAACTTATCAACACCCCTTGATTCATGGGCCAAAGATGTGAGTAGACTTTTCCCAGGACAGAGTGCATCAGTAAATAGTACTGTGATACAGTTAGATTACAATTGAACATATTATCATTTATATCCCCCTGTGACCCATTTAAAAAATATGCCCACCAGGCTCTGTGCCTGGAGTCCCGAACATGAAGGCCTTCAGTCCCCAGGTTGTCCCCTCTGGCCGGGAGCAGCAGGACAACTGGTCAAAAGGTGGGAAGCTTGAGCCCCAGGCAGCCTGGCTCCACAGCCCAGTGGGACACAGAGGAAGCTGCACAGGCTCTGGGAAGGGAGACCACAGAGTTCGACTCAGCAGAGCAACTCAGATAGAAACTGCTTCCTTTCCTGCTGGACTGGCAAGAAGGGCAACAATGAGAATCCACGGGCTTCAGAAACAAGGTTCTAAAAGAAAAGTTGTCTGCGCTGTCAGGAGAAGAAGCCACAACATTTTCCTTTGGCGGCTGGGAGGTGGTGGCCCTGGGTGACAAGTCGGGCTCCCCAGGAACTGCTGAGACACCCTCCACGACTCCCCGGTCAGAGCGACAGGGTTCCCTTAGCCATGCTGACCTGCCTAGCTGTCTCTTCTTGACGCTCCCCCCTCCTTCCCACTCCTCCACCCGACCCCCAATCTCTGAGGGGCCAACGGGCTACCAGTCTGGCAGAGAGGCTTCGAGATTGCCCTGTCCCCGTCTCAGTTGCCCCCACCTCCCATCTCACGATCCTTATAAGGGGCCTGTCACAGCCATTTGACCCTTTTCTGATGTCTCAAACACTCAGACCTGTGCCCGCCCACCCGGATCTTTCTGGAGAGTTTCCCCTTCAGGACCGGCTGCGTTCCTGGCTACCTACGGCCACTTGTGACACATTTTAACTTGTGCTACTTTTTATTTCTCTCTGCTGCCTTTTGGGTTGAGGTTTTTCTGGGTTTTATTCTGTTGGTTTTTGTATGATTTTCTTTCTATGAAACTCAGGATAGCTAAGTCTCTAGAGACAGCAACTAGATTAGTAATGTCCTAGGAGAGCTTGTGGGAAACCGAGAGCTAATAAGAATGCATACAAAAGTGAAGAACATGTTCTAAAACGGATCGTGGTGATGGAAGCACAACTCTTAAGTAGTTTTAAACCATTGAAATATAGGATATGTGAATTATATATCAACTAAACTGTTACCGCCAACCCCACCCCCAAGCAAAACCAAAACCCCAAAGCTTTATCAACAAAGTGAAGAGACAATCTACAGAAAATGGAAAAAATAATTTGGGAACCGGAGGTCTGCACCGTGAGCACTGGGTGGCTAGCTATAAGCCCTGATTGTTCAAATCCCTCAGCTGCCTTGTGAAAGAAAGGTGAGGCGTGGGCTCCTGTAAAGACGTACAGTCTGTGAAACGCTAAGGAGCAGTTCTGCTCTGTCCTATTGGGTCCCGAGGACTTGGAATTCACTCAACCACTGTGTGTGGGTTTATATCTGATGATTATTCAATATCCAGAATATATAAAGAATGCCTGTACTCAATAACAGGAAGAGACAAGCACACAATTTTTAAAAAGGCAAAGGAATTAAATAAGCAGTTCTCAAAAATTGTAGATGAATGGCCAATAAGCACATAAAAATGTGCTCAATGTCACTAGTCACTCAGGAGATAAAAATAAAAATCACAGTGAACCATCACCTTATCTCTACTAGAGCAGTTGTTATCAGAACAACAGAAAAGACATGTTGCAAGGTTGTGAAGAAGTTGAAATCTCCATTCATTGCTGGTGAGATTGCAAAATGGTGCTGTCACTATGGAAAAATAGTATAATTATTCCTCAAAATGTTAAACATAGATCTCTCTTATGATTCAGCAATTCCACTTGAAGGCCCCAAATAATTGAAAGCAGGGATTCAAATAGACAGATGTACACTCACTATTTATATTAGCTAAAAGATGGAAATAATCACAATGGATAAGCAAACAAACAAAAATACTATTATTCAGTCAAAAAAATGAAATTACGTTATGACATGAATGACCCTTGAGAACATCATACTGAATGGATTAAGTCTGACATCAAAGGATAAATAGGGTATGATTCCACGTATATAAAATACCTAGAGACAGCAATGCAAAGAGAAAGTAAAGTAGAGGTTGCAAGGGTTGGGGGAGTAGGGAAAGGGGAGTTATTGCTTAAGGGGCACTGAGTCTTTATCGAAGGAGCTGCAGACATTTGGGATTAGGCAGTGGTGATAGTAACAAGACATGCATTAAAAGTGGTAAAGAGGCAAATGTTTTGTTACATAACTTTTACCACAACACAATAAAATTAAAGAACCCTGGTAGCACAGGAGTTAAGCACTCGGCAGCGAACTAAAAGGTCTGGAGTTCAAATCTACTGCTTCTCGCTTCTCGGTTGCAGGAACTGTCTGGCGATCTGCCCCCACAGAGATCACAGCCTCTGCAAGCCCGTGGTGCGGTTCTCCTCCGCCCCTGGGGCTCTCTGAGTGGGAGTCAGTTTGATGGCGCAGCAGCTGCCACAACAACAACAATTTTCCAAACAGAGTAGGGTGAGCAATAGCAAGTCAGTTGATACCAATTTTTCATTATAGAATGTAATTTGCAAGTTTGCTGGCCATGGGAGTGGTTATCATCTTACTTTACTTGTATCTTTGTAATTTAGACAGACAAATAGACCAGAGGGTATAGAAGAGCTAAGCTATTGGTGATGTGCAGGTACTTAATTTACTGGGAAAAAAAGTAAGAGATTCCATCTGATTAATGGAATGATGAATGCAGTGCCCAGAACACATTTCTCAGTAGTGAGAATAAAATAGGAGCACAAGAAAAACAGCGGAAGGAGACAGCTCATAAACATTGGCCTCAACTCTGCACTTGTCTAGGGAGTGAGCTGTTGAACACTTAGATGAAGAGACCCGAGGAGAAAGCAAAGAACGGGAATGCCCTTGCACGCTGACATCCCCGGCCCGGGTTCTCTTCACTTTGGCTGAAGGACTGTGCTAGGCTGGGTTCTCCAGAGAAGCAAAGCCAG